TCAGAAAGGTTTCAATATCTGAATCTTTTCTGATTAGAGTGTTGCACTCAATGATCAATCATCTGATATAATTGAAGAGTCTGAACAGTTATCTTATATATTGAACTTCACTGTGTTCTAACATTCTGTATCATATTCAGTGATGTGACTGATTTGTTTATTTGTTAAATATTATGAAATTATTATTGTTATTTAGAAGAGATACAAATCATATTAACAATGTTTCAAATCTATAATATTTAAATTATTAGTCAATCTATTCAAAATTAACAGTAGCATTATTAAAAAGCATTATTAAAAAGCAATATTAAAAAGTGTTATTAAAAAACATTATCTTTTATAAAGTGAATGTAAAAGTTACTTAAGTAATCACTTTCATCTCATTTTCATCTCAAGAATCAGTTATCTCATTATTCTTTATCTCAATGTTAAGATTCTTTATCAGTGTTTGCATCATAAGTTGAATCACATGAGCAATGCAGAGAATATGACCTTGTTTATTATTTCAGAAATGCAAAGTCAATTTTTGCTTCAAGCTCTTTATCATAGTATAGTTATTCACAGCATTATCAGTTATAATTGTAAGAAGACTGAAACTAATATCTCAATAGTCATTTTTAATCACAGTCATTAATATCTCTGTCATATAATTCTCAGTATGACTACTGATCAATGATTCAAATTCAATTAATATCTCTTGATAAGTTCAGTTCTCATCAATATAATAATATATAACTCTCATAAATGCAAGATTGTTTGTACTAGTTCATGCATTCACTGTGAGAGACACTCTTCAATGATTCTTCAACTCTGATTCTAGATATTATATATTGACTTTGTAGTGTGTCTTGAGATTGAACTGAAGACAGAATTGATGTAGAATATGAAGATTTAAATTAAGCATTTGAAAAAGTGTTCAGAATTCAGAGTTTTCAATTGATTGAAGAGAAAGATTCAGAGATATATATATACAAAGTAATTATTCACAGAAGTTATCAGATGAGAGTTGTGAAATCAGAGTACTGATACAGAGTTGTTTTCACATGATTTTCTTCAAATTAGAAAGTTAGTGTTATCAAAAATCATTATCTGATAGAGTAAGTTATCAGCTCAGTAGTAATTTTCTGATTATTTTTCTTTTATTATCTGCATTCTGATAACTTCAGATGTTGAAAAATTTCTTCAGAGTTATGATCAGTTTATGATGAATGTTTCTGAATAAAGTTGCAGTGATTGTAGCAGAGAGATGACTCTTCAGTAATCTGCAATATAATCTGTTGATAATTATTTCATAGTTTATCTTGATATTTGTATTGAGTTTTTCATAAATTTCATGACCTGGAATCAGATGTGAAGAATGAAGTGATTATTCATTATAATTGAAAGAGAGTATTCTGTGTTGAATTATAAATAACATAGACTTTATAATTCACAGTGATTTCTTGAAGAGTTTATGAATCTTCAATAGAAGTAAAAGAAGTGAAAGAAGTGAATTCAGAAGATATAATAATAATTTAAGAAAGATAATAATTTATTTTCAATAACTGATCACTGATGTGTGTAAGAAGAATTAATATAAGAGAAAATAATCTTATTTCTTAGCTTAGTTATAATTTTAGTACTAACTCAGATTGAATATCATTAATGTATAAAAGTAAATAAATAATCTTGATTAATCTCTGTCATATTTCTTGAAATATATTAATATTGTGAAAGAGAGTGTTACTAAATTACATTATCAGATGATATTATTAAAAATATATTAATATTATGAATATCAATGTTGAAAAAATGTTGATACTTATATATTATAGTGATTTGTGAATTATGATAGTTAAATATATATATATATATATATATTGTTCCTGACTTGATTACAACTTGTATAATAATTTTTAAAAACTCAAAATTAATTTCAATTATTAATAATTATGAACTTATAATTAACTAATATAAAAAGAAAAAAACTTTTTCTACTCATTATCTTTCTTCTCTTTCTCATTCTTCTTATCATTCTTTATAATTCACTTCTCATTCTTCTTCTTCTTCTTCTTCTCCTCATCTGAGATGATAATCATCTCAAAATCTCTCTTCACTATCTTCTCAGAGAAGGGTTCCTGCTGCTCTCTCTCAGTCAGATCAAGCTGTATCTCAAAATCCTGCATTTTCTGATCTACTGTCTCAGGTTTCATCTCAGCAGTAAGCAGATTAACATGCTCAGAGAGCAGAACTGTCTTCTTAATGTTCTGAATTATGAAGTGTATTTGAGATCTGAATAAGATCTCAATTCTCTTCTTCTCTATCAGCTTCTGCTAATCAATTAGAGAATAGAAGTATTATCAAAAATTATTATCTCTCAATAAATAAAAAACTTATCAGTTTTAACTTCTTTGTCTTCTGTTTCAATACTCTCTCAATCTTCTTCTGTTACTACTTATTTACAGTAATACTTTTCTTCTCTCTCTCTCTCTTCATCTTGATCTCAAATCATTCTCAGAACTTCTTCTGATCTCACTGCTACTGTATAAGACTCTTCACTGTCTTCTTCTTTAATCTCTCACAGACAGTATCATCTGTATTATTTCTATACTTAATTCAGTCTAAATCTATCAGAAGTGTTATTTAAAATCATTATCATTCTGCTTTCTTACAGAGTCTCTTCAAGGCATTATAACATGTCTTATAATCTGTCTCTTCTTGCTTAAACATCTTCTTCTTCTCTCTCTTTAATCTGTGACAGCACTCACGCGTCTTGATGATCTGCAGAACCGCAGAATATTTGAAGAGAGATAACATGATTAGTTTCAGTGAGTGTTGAAGAGAGATGAAGGCAGGAGAGACAGTCAGAAATAATATAATAATAATAATAATAATGATAATGATAATGATAATAGTGATAATGATAATAATAATGATAATAGTGATAATGATAATAATGATGATGATAATAATAATGATGATGAAAGAGAAAGTGCATTGAAATATATTACTGACTTATCAAATATAAAGAGACTTAAAGAAAATATTAACAGTTTTCAGTGATGTACAGAAACAGCTACAGTGTTATATAGCAATATCATCTTCATTCAATGCATGCACTGTTAATATTCTTTGTATGCAGTTATCATATAATATGTATCAGAGATACATGCAGAAAACAGATCTTTATTACTAGAATAAATGATTACAGCAATTCTCTGTTTTTATATTATAAAGATAAGTTATTCTCATTTCTTTCTTCTCTCTTTTCTCTTCTTCAATCAATCACTAATTTCAAGCTGATATGAAAACTATTAAAACACTCTCAAAAATTCTCAAATTGAAGAGTATAGACTAATTAAATTTCAAATACAGAAGAAATCAAATTATCTTCTACAGATTCAATTATTCACTCTCTCTTAAATAAAACAGCAGTTATGTCTCTCTTCTCTTTCAATTAAATAAAACATGGCCTGTGAAAAGTGAGTATCACATCAGGTTATAATGACCAACACAGCCTCAGCATGCAGAGCTGTATATATACAGTGCATGCTGAACTGAGAGGCTGTGTGAGTTGCAAACTGATGACAGCATCTCAGAGAGAGCCATGCGGTGTGGAAAAGCTGCAATCCTCAGTCACATATACAGAGAATGAATTATTATAGTAAGTGTATATACATTGAAGTAACACTTTTTAGTAACACTCAGTCTCTGATATGATGAAAATAGAGTCTCTCTGTGAGATCTGTTTCTACCAGAAGTCAGGGAATCTTATATTTCTCAAGATCATCTTTGCACGTCTTGTTCATGAAATTGATAAGAAGAATCATCAATTCCAGTGTTCTGTTCTTGATGTTATTCAAGTGACAGCAGAGTTCACCCTGACCACACTTTTTAAGTGTATGTTTTCTAATTATTCACATTTATATAGATATATACTGATTATTTATTAGATAATGTTAAGACAATGACTCATTGCAGCTGTGTTACTCTCACTGTGAGAGATACATAGTTAGTGATAAACATTGTAAAGACTCTGAGAAGTGAGTATTTTGAGAATACTGTGACTCTGTAATCTTGATTTTTTTTTATTTTTATTTTTTATTTTTTTCTTTTTCTTTTCTTTTTTTTTTTTATTTTTCTTTTTCTTTCTGTCTCTTTTTTTCTTTCTCTTCTTTTTTTCTTTCTCTTTTTTTTTTTTTTTTTTTTTTTTTATTGTGATTTTTTCTTGTTATTTTGTTTTTTATTTTTTTATTATTTTTTGTATTTTACATTTTTTTTTTTTTAATTAAAATGATATTAATTATAATCTATGTTCAGAAAAGTAATGATATTTGATAATACTCTCTATTGAATTTTCAACAAATGAGCACTATGTTATGATATTATATAAGTGAGAAATGATTTCATAGTCTTATTTAATACCATTTTCAATAATGAGATCAGAATGAAAATGTGACTAAGAATTCAAACATATTCTTTATCTGAGACTAGATTTTTATTTGAAAAGTGAATCTGAGATCTTTAATATTTGAAATAACAGGATTTGAAATCAATGTGATGAATACAAATCATGACCAGAAGTAATGCTTTTAGACAACATGACAACTGTAAAGTTTGATCCTGGTCTCAGACATAGTCACACGGTCAGTCTAAGCTAGATGAGCAAAGCTGCTTTTAAAGTATGATTTCTATATCTGATATTATTCAGGTTGACTTAACCTCACTGACACACTGTCTAGACAGTCTGATTATAATATTATTAATACAGAGAAGAATTCTATAAAAGAATCTCTATCATCACTGCAGAAGAAGCTGGCTGTAGAGAGTTAAGATTCTCTGAAGCTTGAAAACAGCACTGATAAGATAGCTATGCAACTCAGTATAGAAGGTGAAAGAAAACTCAGATCTCTGCAGAGAACTGATACTGAAGATTATAAGCTTCTCATATATCTTACAATCATTGAATTGATAAAGAATAAAACAGTCTATAACCTTTCAATCTGACTACTTTTGAAATTCATTGATAAGTTATAGAAGAGAAACATCTCTACTACAGCTTAAATTCAGAAGTTGAAGAAGAAAGAATTCAGTTTGAACTTGAAAGAGACAGGTTCTGAGCAGAGTGATATCACTAAGAAACTAAGTCACTGATAACTAGAAGAATGTGAACTTCTACTACTGAATAATTCAGTCTTTATTTCTTATAGCAGAACAGTGTGTCAGAAGTTATTGAGAATTTATTATAATAATTCTCATACAGAGCACTTCAGATTAGAGAAGACTGAGAAGCTTCTAAAATATAAATATATTTAAGACAAGCTTTAGATAGATGTTAAAGAGTATATTGAGACTTATAATATCTGTCAAAGAATAAAGATTTCATGATATAAGTAATACAGTGAGTTGATATCACTGTCTGTTTCAAAGAGCTTATAACAGAATCTATCAATGAATTTCATAGTTGATCTGCTGAAGTCAACAAGAGTCAAAGAATATAACTCAATTTTAGTTATTATTAATCACTTTATAAAGATAATCAGATATATTTCTATTCATAAAAAGATTAAAGTCTCTGAATTAACTGATCTATTTTTAGATATCATCATTTATAATCACAGTGCTTTGAAATCATTAATAATAGATTAAGAATCCCTCTTTATCAGTAAATACTGATCAGCTTTTTACTATTATCTTATAATAAGATGTCTTCTCAGTACTGTATTTTATCTGCAGATAGATAATCAGACTGAATATCAGAATCAGATACTAGAATAGTATCTTTAAGTGTTCTATTCATATTATCAGAATAATTAGCTCAAACATCTTCTAATCACTGAATTCATATATAATAATATAAAGAATATAATCTTAAAGATATCTTCTTTCTATACTTATTATGAATATAATTCTTCATTACTCAGTGACATTATGAATGACATTTTAAAGAGAGAAATAGACAGTTAGAATATCAGATAAATACAGAGAATAAAGTATTTCTCAGTATCAGAAGTAAAAGTAAGATTGAAACTTTTAAACAAAATTCATGAGAAGATAGTAAAAAGCATTCATTATACTTAGAAGTAGTAGATGAAATACTATAATTAAATACATCTTTCAATAAAGTTCTTAATAGAGGATTAAGTACTACTTTCAACAAAGAATATCAAGATAATAAGATTATATAAAAAGCTCAGTAAGTGATAACTAGAATCTTTCTCAGTAATAAGAGTGATAAGTAAGCAGATATATAAGTTAAAATTACTCATAGAATTAAAATCAATTCATTCTGTTTTTCATATTTTCTATTTAAAGCTCTATAAGCAATGCTCTGAGACAGAGCTGTCTCAGTTAAATAGTATTAAGATTGAGAGTGATACTGAATATCTTATAAAGAAAATATTGAATAAGTAAATATATTACAGCAAGCTTCAATATCTCATTAAATAAGAAGATTATTCATTGTCAGAGAATTCATAAGAACTGCTTAAGTATTTGAAAAATACTGAGAAAGAGATTATAAGCTATAAGACAGCTAGTAGAGACTGCTCTATTACATATCAGAGATATTGAGTAAGAAATACTGCTTAAGACTTCTTATTTTTCTCAAAGAGTTTTTTAGAGATAATCTCACAGTAATAAGTCAGTATCTTGTAAACTCTGTAACACTCTTCTTCTATTTTCTCTCAAAGAATTTTTTAAAAGTTTAATAAGACTATACAAGTGTAAAATTTCTGAAGCAGTTAGAGAAAAGAGATATTGAAAATCAATAAAAAGATTAATATTATTAACTCACAGACTGCTGCTATTCTAATAGAGCTACAGCTCACTGAAAAAGTAAAAAGAGATATCAGAGTCTACTTATTAATAATTATATTCTTATCAAACTCATTCTTCACTATTGAAGTCTTCAGTACTAATATCTTTATCTGCTGAGAAGTTAGCACTGTAGCACTACAGAAGAGTATAAGAAATGTATAAAAATATTAACTTATTAACTTATAAAGCATCTCAGTTATCTACTTCAATTGAAGTGAGATTCTCTTTAATCAGTAATTAATCTTCACAGTACTTTTAATAGTAGTACTGACTAATCTCTTCTTAAGATTAGTCATTCTGAGATATTTTTTCATCTCAGAGATTCACACTTTCATCTTCTTTTATAGATAAGTAAGAAGAATCTTCTCAGTCTTAACAGAATTTATTAATACTTAAAGCTCTGAGACTCTCACTCTATACTGCTTAAATATCTAGACTTCTTATCAGAGCTGATATAATGTCTTTCTATAAAATAATACTTATAGAGAGATAGAAGTTATTGTTACAGATATAATAGAAACAACAGAAGTAAGAGAAGAAATAGATATATAAAATCCCTCTCTTCTTCAGCTGCTTAATACAGCACAGACAAATAGCAGTGTCAGTCAGAGATCATATCAGAGTCTTCTTACAGAGAGAAGATAAAGAAACTGCAGAACTCTGCAGACTTAACTTAGCAGCATTCTGAGCAGGGCTTAGATATGCTGTGAAAGAGAAACTACAGATTGAGCTTCTCAGAGTCACTGTCTTCAGAATCAAGCTCTCTCCAGATTCCTCTCTGAATGATCACACAGGGTCATACACTACTGTATTGACTGAGGGGGGGGGGCGGCGTCGCAATGGTGGCAGGGGGGGCAGAGAATGAACTGAATGCAGATGCACTGGCCAGTAGAAGAGATAATACCTCACTGCAAGGCACAGCAACTACTGCCGCAGCTGCAAGAGAAGCAGAAGGAGATGTGATAATGAGAGTGATACTCTCACAGCTCATTGACATT